TGCTTCTGTGCCGGCGGCCATGTAAAAGAGTTTGTTTTTCATTTTTATTGTAAAACAGTTCATCTAGAGTTCTGTTCAAGATCTTTTTCTTAAAAACTATTAAGATTATTAGTCTGCTAATTAAATGGTTAAGTGGTGTTGGGGGAGGGGAGGCTTCCACCTCCTTCTCATGAAAAATACTGAAAACAACAAGAAGGGGAGGTTAACCCTCTGATCTGGATCCCTGTCCTGCATTAAAGCAAATGATAAAAGCAGGGGATGCCAAATTCCCTATCCTTGCCCATACCTCTGCCCAGCTGCTTTGGGGCTCCTGAGGAGGGATAATCATCATCTTTGTAGTAGGATGAGGCCCTGGGGCTCACAGTAATCCATTCTGATTGCCTCCTTGCTTTAAATTCAATCATTTCCCTCTTCTGCATCTTTTCCCTCAAGCTTGCAGAGTCTTAGGAACTTAAAATACTGGAATTCACGGTCTGTGGAGGAAAAGGTAGCCCCAGCAAATGCCCAGTGATTTCCAAGATGTGTCCCTGCATCTTTCAAAGCAGCCTGGGATGCCACAAACCACTGAGGCATTGGCTGCAAATTAAGCAAGACTATAGCAGAGAATATAGAAAAAGCACCAAGGAATCATTTGCTGGAGAGGTGAGATGTGTCAGACTAAGGGAAAATGTGGCAGACCTTTACCATTTATGTTAAATGCCCTAAGTTTTTGGAGTACCGTGTAAGCGTAGGAGCATTTTAACACTTGGCAGTATCTGCTATGCTGGTAGGTAACAACCCTTGGCTTGTGATGCTTCTGGGAGTGAAGAAGATGTATTCTGAGACATAGGATGCCAAAGTTAGTTGCTTGCCCTAGGCATACTAAATAAGCTTCTTTCTTGGTAAAAGATGCTTTTCAAAGAGCATAGGTTGTCAAGTGAGAAATAACCAACTCTTACATGTCTGTGGAACTGATCTTGGTGTCAGCTGGTCCATAGAGTGCTGCTCTGTTACCAGGACTCCTAGCATATCCATTCCCCTTTCAACCTCGCTTTTCTATCCGTTAAACATTATATGCACTGGAAATATAATAAATAAAATTAAGTCCGTTCACCTTATCTACTTGAAAAGAAAGGTAATTGTTACCAAAATAGTTCCACTGTGCTGCCATTAATGCAAGAGAGAATTTACCCCTGAGTAATTTGAGGACTCGATTTAAGAAACAGAATTTAAGGCTTTAGGCTCTGAGGTGGCAGTATGTGTGAAGCTGTGTGAAAGAACCAGACAGGTTTATCTATTACACTTCGCTTGGGATGGAGCCAAAGTGGGCAGTTCACGTTTCGTATAGTGCTGTATGCACGTCATGCTAGTTGAAAAGGAATGATTTGTGCCCTCATGCTATACCATCACTTCAAACATGTACACTAGCACTTTTCCAAATGTTTGAGCATTTGGGAGAGTAGCTTCTGCCTTGGGACTTCTACATTTCCAGTTTGAATGTTTGTGCATGCATATGAGATTTTACTTTCATATGATTTCATATATTTTATGCCTACACATTGTGCAAAATTGCAAATATGGAATAGAAATGTGAAATGTTGTATTATTGTTCTCTGTTACAAAGCTGGTGTTATTTATACGAGGCTTTAAGATGTTAATTACAGTCCTGGTTTCCTAATGTGTGCACCTGATGCAGTTAGGACAGGACAGTTTGCAAGGCAGGACATGGCACAGCCTCTGCGAGGCGGAAAAGTGTAATTTCATTAGAAGTGGAAAGACCAAAATCTCCAAGCAGAGTCAGCAGGTGACAGCCTGCTTGTCCAGGGTGCTCTGCTTGGATAGGAAACCTGGGATAGTTTTAGCAGCAGCTCAGTTTCTTCTAAACAATGACTTGAGTATTACAAAAGCCATTGGGCTATTGCTTTAAGGTGTTAGGTGCCCTTACGGGCTTTACTCCTTCAACTGTGCTGAGGAATTAAATGCTCTTGAGCAGTGCAACAAGCTCCTTCACTCCAGTGTTGCAAGGCAAGGCAGTCATTACTGGTAAATGGGCCTATATTATGGTGGCATTAGCATTTTAATGCAAATAAAGAGGAGGTAGATTGACTGTAATTTAGTATCTCCTTGCATGGCCTTGTGCAGGTCCCCTCATCACTGCTCCTCAGGGACGGATTATAGTTGCACAGTGCACTTGGGCATCTAATTGGATTTGCATGCAGTAGCGTAGTCGTGTCACAGCAATGGCTGTGCAGCGGTAAGTGCCAGCGCAATTAGTTATGTATAGAGAAGCTGTAGTTGCCGGATAATGCATGGGACTAAGAGATTGTGTTGAGCTCCTCTTCAGAAATAGCTCCTGGCTTATCTTTTCCTGAAACCTTTGCAAAGGAATGGGATTAAGCAGGACCTGTTTCCACAGAGACACTTCTCCTCACCTATCAGCACCAAGCCACGGGCGTCCTGCAGAGATCCAGCGGACGCGTGAGCCCTCTCTTCAGCTTCTCCCTGGCAGACCATCCGGCTTTAGCATGTGCTTTTGCACCATGGAAGCCCGAGCTCCACAAAGGGCTGTTTGGAAAGCAGCGAGTCTGAGGGCCGGTGCTCGGCGCGGACGCGGCAGTGTGAGAGGCGAGGTGGTCCGCAGCGAGCCGAGCCGAGCCGAGGCCGCCGGGCGCGCGCTCAGCCCCGCGCAGGGAGCTCGGCCTCCGCTGCGGCTTCCCCTGCGTTTCCCTGGCCACTGTACTTAAAGGCATCAGCTTGCTCCAGCCACAATTAGGCATGGTGGTTTTGCACTTTCTGCAATTCTCCCTAATGACAAAATCGCAACTATTAAGCAAGGAGAGGCTGTTTGGCAGCGCGTTGCTCCCCTTCAGGGCCATAGAGTAAGATGGAGTATTGCTGCTGTTTGGCAGCGAACGCCCTTTCATCCCTTCTGACACAACACCTGCTGGTACCTACTGAAGCATTTAAGTTCTTCTTCTCTTGTGCTGTAATTTCTTTAAAATATTGTGACTTTAGAGGAATAAAAAAAATAAAATTCTTCTCCCACGCAGACCTTTGAGGGTTTGTTGAGATGTAATTATATGCGCACGCAGTAGGAGCAGGAATCCTATCATTCTGGTTATTTTCCTAATGATAGGTTTATACAGCAAAGTGTCATCTCCACTCTAGAAGTTAGAGCCATCTTTTCCAGGCAGCTGTTGTCCCTGGATGAAGGTGTCACAGGATAGGACAACTGATGAAATAATTCGGCTCTCAGTTGCACGTGTGAGAAACAGGATGAAGTGTGCTCCCTACTCCCACTTCCACCATCACAAAAGAAAAAAAAAAAGCTAAAGAAGAAAGCATAAGGGTGGGCAGCAGATTCTGCCTGGGTGGATGGGGCTCTTAGCCCTGGGGTGGTCACAGTGATTCTTGTCCCAGCTGGGTTCGCTCCGAGCCCTTCTCCTGGAGGGGCCTCCACCCACTGCAGCAGTGTCTTGGCTGCTCATATAGCAGCTTCTGAACGTTTGCGCTACCACCCTGAACGTGCTGATGAAGCTCTACTGATTTGGGCCTGCCTTCATGCACAGGGCTGCAGAATGGAGCAGTTGAACACCTGCTGTGCAGATACCTCTGCAGCTGAGATGGGACAATCTGAATAAGTTCGCACGCTCTGGACTGCAAAATTGATGCCATCCCTGCTCATCATTCAGAGACTAGGTGCAAAAGGCAGCTGGTGACAGAAGAAGGATACTATATTTGAAGGATTAATGCAAAACAAAAAAACCTATGAATATTCATTAAATGTTTTCATTGTGCTGGTTTCAGCCACCTTGAAACTCTTTGTTCGCTTCCTGCCAACAACAAACGATAGACTTATTCACAGAAGTCTTAATGGGAGGCAATTTTCAAAGGCACGTTCACAAATGTTTGTGGGAAACAGATGTTAAATACACCCGCTCCAGAAATCATGCTGAAATTTTGGCACACTCATCCAGTGAGGGAGCAGGAATAGACCCAGGTGACTTATCTGATCGCTCACAGCTAAGCAATGGGTTCAGAATAGCTGCGAGTGTTCCAAAATAATTTGGGAAAGATGAGTTATTTACCTGTGGCGCCTAGCAACCCTGCTTGAATATTGGACCCTTACGGCACGAGGGGCTGTTGGGACAGTTAAAGGCTACCCCTTCCCCACAGGCCTGGAAATGTAGGCTTGTGACTGTAGCACACAGGTGAGGAAAAAAACAGCCAAGAAGGTGCCAGGACAAAGCGACAACCAAACAAACATGCTTTCCATGCTAATACATAGTCCCACCTTACCTTTGCCTTGCAGAAGATGGTCGTTCATCGTGCAGACAGAAATTTAAAGGATATATTTATTGAGAAAATCGTAGTGCCAGTCTGTCCCTCACTGGCTTATCTAATGCCTTTTGTTCGAGAGGCTGAGAGCAGGCAATACTGTAGCTTCACTGTTCCTCCATGCGTGTTTTACAGATGGTGAAAATGAGGTATAGGGAGAGGAAACAATTTGCTCAGCTCTGCATGAGAGGTGGCCAGGAGGATGAGGAATAGAGACCCTCATTCTCAGGCCATCGCTCCTAATGACTGGGCTCTGCTTTCCAAGCACACGGTCCATCTCTGTGCCTCTGCCTTTTTCATTTTCCCAGTAAATGGACTGTAAAGTCACAGCAGATTAAAGTTTGTCTAACCCTCCCATAAAATATTGAAGGGGCAGCTGTTATTAATCTAGTACTGTTGTGCTATGATGTGCATATGTAATGGAACTTCAGATTTACATGTGGTCTGTGGGCATTTAAAACACCCCAAAGGTTGCTAAAGAGATTCTGAGGAATCGGATCCGTCGTTGGATATTAAAAGCTTTTCATTAGTGCTAATGTACACTAAATTAAGATAGCAATTAGATGGAGCATATTCACCAGGAATGTGTTTTTTAATAAATTGTGTATTTAACATGATTGTATTTAACTGACTTCTGCAGTAATTGCATATTTTTCTCTTGCAGGACAAGTTTGACTGCAAAGTGATCCATGGGACACGCAGGCTGTTAAAGATTAGAAAAATTACTGCACTTCAAGTCCCAGACTTGCAAAGGTGAATCTTGTTTTCGAATATTTGTTTCTGCATCCCAAAGGCTTTCTCTGTATCTTTGTCAGGGCTGGTTGGATATAGCTTTGGTGTGCAGGAGCTCATATGCTCTCGTGTGACCTAGAAGGTGTTCTGCAGCAAGTTGTGCAAATGAAGGATGGCTCTTCAGTCTCCTAATTACGTCTTTCCGTGAAGAGAACCCAATCCACATTTTATGATTTCCTTTAGCATCTGGCTTGTACTGGTTCTGGAGAGCTTAGAGTACCGCTTCTGCTGTTACTTGGTTGCATTTTATGTGATATGAAAGCAGGTGTGAGATGGTCTGATTTGCTCCTCAAGCCATTGGCTAATATGTGTGGGAGATGCAGTAGAAGTGGCCTCCCGGTTTTAAAGAAAGCAGCGAGTCAAGTAGGTGGACAAGTCTTCACAGGTGATGAAGGCAAAGAATTTTTATGTTAGAAGAGGTAATGTGGACATTGTGATAGAAGATAAGTGACAGAAGAAGTGATTCGAGTGAGGATTGGAGGTCTCTGCCCATCTCTTCCAGTTTTAGTTATACTGTTGTTTTTATGATGTATCAGAGATGGGAGACTCTGATGAGCTATCCACTGAGACCACAATGTTTGAATTTTGTGCAGTGGAATAGGAATAGTTGACAGAAGTGTATTTAAGGGTGAGAATTGTGTGCTTGGAGTGGTAGGCAAGGAGAACAGGTCACACGGTCATTTTCCATGGAGGATAGGAATGGTGTGATATTGAAGATGAAATGCTTGAGATCAGTGGTGATAAAGTGCTCCTTCAGAGTTCTGGTAGATGGGCAGATCTGAGAGGTCCTGCTGTTCCTTTCACAAGAAGGTAATTTGGGGAAATCAGAGACTGTTCAGTGTTGGAACAGGTACCCAGAGAGACTGTGGAATCTGAGTCCTTGGAGATACTCAACATTTGACTGAGTATGAGCCAGATTGCCAGCACAACCTGATCTAACCTTGAAGTTGAATCAAAAATTAAAATTGACCCTGCTTGGAGGGCAACATTTGAACTACATGACATGCAGAAGTCCCATCTAACCTAAATTTCTGTGATTCCATCTCCTTAGCAAAGATGAAGGAGAAATTCAATGTTTTAGTCTGCTGTCAAAGAGGGATATGGGCAGGGGGAGATGTCAGTGATAGCAGAATGAGATGTGGAAGCAGTTTTCAAGGAGTGGTTGGTTACGCAGTTTCCTTTAGATATATGAAGTTCAGGGCAGTTTTAGGGCATGCAAAAACAAATGTGAGAAGGAATGTGAAATAAATGGCAGTTAGAGAAGAAAGGAATATATTGCCTTGGGAAGCAAGACTTTATTACTAACTGATTACAGCAGCTGGGTTATGTTTTCTGGTTATGCTGCTCGGGTGTTTTGGATTCCCCGTTACTTTGCAAGATAATATTCATATTAGGGGAAAAATGTAGAATAAATTGCCTAAGAAAAAGTGGAACATTTATAGCCATATTTCAGACAAAAAAATATCTCACATGTCTTACAGGTCTGAGATGGGACAAGCCAGGGAAAGCATCTGTCAGCTGCTGTCTTCTGCAGTTCTGACTGTTAATGTTTGCTTAGCATTAAATGTCTTCTGCAGAGAACTGCCACAAATTCAGGGCCTGGAAAAGGGCAGAAAAGATATTTTTATATAGTAGAGTAAGACACACGAATCCAGATTGTGTCTCACGTCAGAATGCAGTAGGAGTGATTTATAAGGCTTTACACTTTGTGTGTATAACTTGAAAGTAACATGGAAGGAAGAAAGCAGCACTGTGGTTCAGACATCGATTATTTTCTTCTTGCAGCTTGTGATCAGTGAGTACCTTCAGCTAATTAGTAAGGCAACCGTTGCCACAGATGGTTTAATAATTACGTTATTTGTAGCTAACATTATTTATATTTTGCTTACATTCTCTGTAAATAGCATTAATTATATGTGCTTCAAAGTCTCGAGTGGAACTGCATAAATGAACTAGATGGTAATGTATTTCCGATATGTTAGAGTCCTTGGGCTCTGAAATGTACTAGTTCTAAGGGCTGTGCAGTGAGTTAGATCCTACTTTTGGTTATTTTCCCTGTTTTAATCAGCCAGAGATTCAAATGGTGAGCTTCTGCAAACGGTTTTGAGATCTCTATATATGTTCACTGTGTTACGCTGGCATGTGAGAGTGCCTCTCAAGTCACAATTTTCACTACTGAGCAACTAACTGCTCAGCACTAGCATTTCTCACGTCAGATGAATGGGTTGACATTTTTTGAAGCTTTGCACTGAGCTCTTTTGACATGAAAACTTTGATGTGCTGCACTCGTGGATTTGCCAGCTAAGACCTTGCTCTGTCGCTAGTGACTCACTCCCATCCTGAGTTGAAGGGCTTCCAGGTTTGTAAATCCCAAGAGAGGAGCTGTGTTCCTGTCTTGCAGCATAGCAGGGTTAGCTGCATTACATTTATTTGCTGCCTTGCTCTGTGTGAAGCGTGATGTTTTTAGAAAGTACAGGTATGAGCCCAGCAACCACCACTGGGGCTGATTTCTGGCTCAGGCAAACTGAGGGAGTTTTTACTTGTCAAATCTCACTTGCTTTTATTGTTCCCAGGTTACCCTATTTCGACTGCATAGCCCTGCCACTGATGTTTGCAGGATCTAAGCAAGGCTCAGCTTGAGGGATTGCCTTCCCTTCTCACACCTAGGAAACATTTAACATACTGAGTGGATGCTTGGGAAGGAGAAATGCAAGGAATCATAGCTTAGGTTTGTGTATGTAAAGAAAAGGAAGCCATAGACTGAGCTCATGGAAATCGAAACAGTTCCAAGGACACCAGCCCTTCCTGCTTAGGAAGTAGGTCCAGTTATGGAAAGTAAGGTAAGGAGGTAATGTGGTTTATCAGCTCTACAAAGTAAAGTGGCATTGTGGCAGGGTTAGTTTCAGGATTTGCTGCTTCTTAGACCACAGGTAATGTCCTTGATGTGGATAGCTCTGCAGTGAGATGGGTGTGAATGGTGCAAATTGGCATGATGTAGTTCAACTGGCTTCTTTTTTTTTATCCTTTTTTCACCTAAGACTTCAATTTTAGATCATGTAGAAGGTCACTCACGGCAGCAGGACTTAGAGGTGTCTCTAATAACTTTCGGGCTTTGAGTAAAATACTGAGGTTTTTTATTTGTTTTGCTTTTTGTTTTGTAGGAAGCAATGGAAACATCTTGATGCCACTGATTCTGAGGCTTTTGAAGCATCAACATCCCCTTAATTTGTTGTATTTTTGTACCTCTCTCTACCATAGTGTCTAAGCTCATGGATTAGTGGAATTGGAAGCTCACCTTCCCTCCAAGTAATCCCAAGATTTGCCTTCCCAGCTGTATACCTTTCTGTATTTCAAGAACTCCTTTCTCCCTGAGATTTGCAGTCATAGTTTAACCCTGCTTGGGGAATTGTGAGCTTCCTGTGTGACACCTGAGCTGTGTGCTTCTCCTCCAGGCCACACCAAGCTTGGTGTCCTGCTCCCTCCTACGCTCACGGTCTGGGCTTTAAACTTCCCCTAGATGAAGAGTTGAGCAGCAGAGGTGTAAGAAAATAAGCTTTGTGAAGAAAAATCCTGCCCTCATTTCTGAGGTTTTGGTCCAGTTCTCTGTTTCTCTAGAAGTGTACGTGGTCTGCAAAACTGTTTTTTGGGATATGCTCAGGACTCTTCCAACAAAAAGGATTTCCTAGGGGGTACCCATCCAGCCAGAGGCACGCATTGCAAGAAGCAATCCATAAGGAAAGCAGCTGCATTTGTGCACCATTGCGCTCGCAAGCGTTTATGTTGTGCCACTCGCGTCTGTGCTTGTTTTGCCACTAGGAAGGGATTGATTTTGATTTTTAAAGCATGCCGAAGAAGCACGGTGGGCAAACGCAGCGTGCGAGTCCTGCTGTTCACCCTGTGGGGAGAGCGGCCTGGCCGGCCGCCCCTTCCTGCCGCCCTGCCCAAGCAGAGCAGTTTCCATGGCCACAGAGGGACGAGCCCTGGGAGGCGTCACGGCCTCCCCGCTCCGGCGGATTAATAAAAGCGAGGAGGGACTGAAAGGCAGGGTAGAAACCTTGGGTGATTTATGGGTTTTGTTGTTTGTTTGTTTTTCTTTCAAATGTCCTTTGCCAGGACAGCATGTAATTGGATGCAATTCTGTTCTGAGGATGGCGTTCACAGTGGAGGAGGGGGAAGAGGTGGGCTAAGAAGCATCTGGGCTTCGCTAGAAAGCAAAGCAGTGTGCCTCTTTGGTCGCGTGTGTGTGTCTCTTCCTGTGCAGGGTTCAGTGACGGCGAAGTCTCTTCTTTCGGTGGAACTTTTTCTGTTTTATGTATTTGTTTGCCTGTCCCTCTGGGGTGCTTGATGATATAATCACATGTTGGGAAGTACCATCCCTTCATTAAGCAATAAGGTTTTAAGGGCAGAAACTTTGTGGTCATGATTCCTAGCTGCTCTTCCAATATAAACATTATCCTAAGAAGTCTGCAATCCAATTCAGACCTGTGGGGTTTCAAAACCAGTTTTGATTCCTTAGCTTTTTTCCTGGGATGGAAGACTTACCAGCTTTGATCCATGGGCCCTACCTGCGAAAGGGTTGTGCAGGGTGGACTTTGGTGGTACAGTAACATCTCATACTCCGTGACAAGCAGGTCTTCTGCTGCAGTCTGAGTAACCTGGCCGTGGGAGGGATGCCAGTAGACACTGCGGCTTCTGCAGAGCTGTCCCTTCCTCTGGCCTTTCCCCATTCACACATGTCAGTCATTCCCAGTCCAGCTTCTCTAAATGTCTAAAAGTCTCCCTGAAAACAGAGCCCTTGCTTGTGTGGCCTTCATTCTGTGAAGAAGGCTTGTGTGAAGGTAACTGTCTGAGGAGAACTCAAAGGGAATTTGCAGTGATCATTACCCCTCATTGGCCTGTGCTGTGTTACCTTGTTCAGATAAGAACTGAGCCTTTGGAGTAATGAACTGCAGAGGGCCTGGGGGAAATAAAATGGAGAGAGGCCTGTGTCACTCAGATAAAAAGCAAGTGTGCTGAGGCAGTGCTGGTGTTTTGCAGGAATAATTGGATCAAGCAGCCTGGAGACCATGGAGGGAGACTGCCTGAGCTGCATGAAGTACCTGATGTTTCTTTTCAATTTCTTTATATTTGTAAGTATTTGGAATCTGCTTTCTCTCCTGAATCCTCCTTCTGTTTCCAGCAGCATCCTGCACCCCAACAGGATATGCTGTACTTGGGAAAGGTGGCCACGGTGCAGAAGTACTTTCAGCTTTGCAGTAGCAATCACTAAGGTTGCGCTTGTCCAGGTGGTCCTCTCCACAGTGAAGGAAGACTGGGGATAAAGCTTCAACAAATGGGGAAGGAGGGGGAAGGAGGTCTATCCTTGGTGACGTAAAAGTTTGGTTTCTAGGCCTGGCCCTCCTGATGAGGCTTTCACTAGAAAGCAGTCATTTCCCTACCTCTTTCTCTTGGTGCCCTTGCTGCTCATGACAGGAGGGATGCCAAAATGGGCAGCACAGCCGCTGCCCAAGGAGGGCTTCCTTTGTGCCCCTTATGGGCTCTCCTGGGCAGATGCGGCAGCAACTCTAGACTTGGCCTTTCTGCATTAGGCAGGGAATAACCAGTGTTAGAAGTGTCAAAAAAAGGTGCTTTTACTTCAAACGTTTCACTTTTAGTATGCGAGAGACACTGAAATTGTTAGCCTGTCAGCAGTCACCTACTGTGCAGAGAATATATTGCATGGAGAAACAGAAATTCTCTGAGGGAACACCTTCAATCAAAAGGTCCTGATGAACCCGGGTGTCCCCCAGTAGTTGTTTTGTGTTGACATGTCTCCCTCTCTCTCCTCTCATGCCGCCGTGCCAGCTGGGAGGAGCATGCCTGCTGGGCGTCGGGATCTGGGTCATTGTGGATCCTACAGGTTTCCGAGAGATAGTGGCCGCCAACCCTCTCCTCTTCACGGGAGCGTACATCATGCTGGCCATGGGAGCGATGCTCTTTCTGCTGGGCTTCCTCGGCTGCTGTGGGGCCATCCGCGAGAACAAATGCCTCCTGCTTTTCGTAAGTGTCCTTGCGTCTTCTGACAGCCTCTCTTTTGGTGTTTCCTGAGAATGGCTGCAACCGTTTACCTTAACGGAGTCATGTGTTGTAAGTGCATGAATGTGTTATCGCAGCCGTTATTCTCTTAAGAGTTTAGGGCACTCCTAAATGCAGCTAGGGATATGGAGAGTTTGGTGCTTCACTGTACCAGGCTTGAAGCCAGTGGAGATGCAGTCAGGGAGTGGATTAATTTCTCACTAGTTCACAGCAAAGCGGAGTGAACGTGTGGAGCGGCTCATTGATGAACTGGAGCCCCCTGTTTGGGCATTGGTGCCCAGCTCAGAACCGCGGGGTGACTTTGCATTGCGGCTCCCTGCGGGTGGTCACTACTCTAAACAGTCTTCCTTGCTTTTAAAACAAACCAAATTTGTTATTCTTGCTGACAATTTTCCCCCTGAATGATAGGGCTAAATTGCAATCCATGTGGTCATCAGGTGCTATTAACAAAGAAAGAGCCTCTAAAATAAGTAATTTTTGACATTTGCTGTAATAGCTGATATCACAGGGTTTTCAGCCATTACCTCCTACTGAAAATCATTACTAGTTGCATGTCTAAAGACAAAGCTCACACATTTTATTTTTTGTTTTTGTCAAATATGACTTTCTGTTTCTCCCTGTGAGTCTGTTGGTTTGGTTTGGGCTTTTTTTAAAAATTTTAATCTCACAGTGTTTTGTCATGATTGTATCTTGTACACAGTGCTCTCTAGAAGCAGCTGCTTCATAGTACAAAAGAGGCTTGTCTCTAACAGAGCAGGAAAGTCCACTTTGCTGAAGAAGAAACCATTTTTCTTAAAGATCAGCTTGGTTCTACTGAGATAAATTCTCTCTGCACTGGGTTGACTCATCCCTTGAATTGATAAACTGCACATAACAGCACTTTTGGTGGATTTGATTTCTAGTGATTTACCTCAGAAGTAAATCATAAAACCAGAAGTATTGCCTGTGAAGTCATAGAGCTCTGCCCAGAAGAACTTTATAAAACACAAAGGATCATACCCATTTAGACTGACATTATTCCAAAAGCCAATACCTATTAGATTAAGAAACCAAAAGTTACCTATGAAGAGAAATACTGTTCTAAGTGAATTGAAGATACAAGATACATATTTTCAATCTGGGCCCACATAAGCTGCATGCAGATTGGGGACCTGGCTGGAGGAAGGGAGTTCCGGGACATACTCTTTCTTTCCTTATGTATCGTTTCTGAAGGCAGTAGAGTTACGTCGCAGTTGAATGTTGCTCCTGGTGTGTTAGTTATGCTCTGGTGCAGTCAGTTTTGTGGTTATTACTTTTCGAGTCTCAAAGCTAGTACTGAGCCCTGCTGTTTTATTTATTTAGTTTTATTATTATTATTTTATTTTGCACTGAGAATGTGAGAAGTATATGGGCTGGAAGTAATGTGTGGGACTAAAAGAAACTCCTGAGAGTGTTCTCAGGATGAGAAATTATCGTTCCACCTTGATGGAGGTCTTCCAGGGCTTCTGGCATAAAAGTACGTCTCTTTAACAACCTGCCATTCCACATCCAAGAACAGTCAAGTACCTTGAAAAGATTTCAGTGCTGATATCAAGTGAGAAAAAAGATACTTTATTAATTGGTGCTCTTTCTGGAGACACCACTTGACCTTAAAATGCATAATATGAAGTCAGAGGTCTAATGGAAGTAAGGTTTAAGTGTTGGAAAGGCAAGTCATGAGCATATGCCAGCAAGGCTGGAAACACCCCTGCAGAACAAGAGTGTTGGGATTCAGAGGAGTGGGACTTGGGCAAAGTTGCCTGGTCAAATCAAATGCATTTACAAAAGTCATTAAAGAATTGATGAGCAAGAGCTGCTTGAGTGATATTTTGCAGTGATGCATAATGTATATCTGGTGCTTTTAGTCCAACAGAACCTAGAAGGGATAAGACAGATGTACACATGCGTGTGCTCTGGGTCCTGGTTTCTCTGGGTGCAAGGACTTTCATTTTACTTCATACTTCCTCAGAAATCGGACAGGGTTCACCAAAAGCAGCAAACATTGGCCTACAAGATAGAGATTAACCAACTTCTGGATTGTTCTAAAGACCTTTTGATCACAAAAGGAGAGCATCAAAACCAGAATCTGCAGTGCTTCTGAGCGTGCAAAAACGGCTCGTGTAAATATTTTGTTTGTCTCCCTATGGGGCTGAATTCAACTTTAGAAAAAGAAAAGTTTATGCTAGCTTGATCTGGCTTATTTGTGAGTGCATGCATCCTGTTCTGCACTCTTGTAAAACTGATGCAATGGTCCTCCTGCTTCTCCTGACACAGTCATCATCAATGTGCATGTCCTTTGGGTTAAAGATGATTTGCTGCTCTTTTCAGAGCAGCTGAAATATTGCTGAAACTAAAACAATAGATTTGCTGTGAAAAAGAAACATAAAATGTTAATTTGTGGAAACTTACGACAAAACCTATAAGCATCACCAGGAACTGAAGTAGAATTTTTAACCAGAATTGGTCTGCCCCACTCCCCAGGATGTTCAGACTCCCAGTTTGGATGAGGAAGGTACCCGTGTTCAAGTGCCCTGTCTCAAGCAGGAATTTGCATGCAAGGCTTCTACATGCCATATATGTGCACTGACCGGTTGGCTGTTCACTGCTCAGATGTTAGCAATTACCTGACTTAATTTTGGCCAGCAGGACATACTAAGAAGATTTTTGCCTTAAGATGCAGAATGAGTACAAATTTGGAAGCACTGATGCAGCATCTATTTTTTTTCTTCCATCAGGCCTAATGGCTGCCCATGTTTTCTCCACCGTAACTACTAGGAATCTGTAATGCAGCCTGTGCACTGCAAGTGTAAATTAGTTTGGGAATGATAATGAAGCTTATCAAAGACAGAATCTGGAAATGACTGCTTCTGCTTCTGCACCGGCCCTGTGCTTGGAGCTTGGTTGAACATGTGTACCCCAGTAATCAGTAAATGAAATGCAATTAGCAGGATGATAGGATTAATCACTTGATCACCACCTTAGACCTCTTAGTGACTATGCTGAGATCCCTTGATGGATGATGATGTGGATTTGCAGAATATTGTTCATTCTCATCACTTGTTCTTTGCCCTCCTGTGGTGAAATTAAAAACAAAACAGTCTCTAAGAAAGGAAAAAAAAAAGGCCACACAAAAAACTCTAGCAATAAGAATAAATCACAAAGTTAACTAGTTCAGCAGACCAAGCAACAGCATTCTGTTGGCAGACCAAAGTCCTTGCTCATCTGACCATTCTTGTTTTATCCTTTAAGCCAGGATTTCTTTCTTTTGTTTTCATTGTAAAAGCAGGAAGACCAACAGGACTGCATGAGTGCACTTTTCTAGCGGGTAAAAATCACTTACAGCTGTAACACTTGACACAAAAAAAGCATTTTGCCTATTTCAAGCAGGCAGTTCAAATTCACACTCTGCTACTGAACTACACATTGCAGCACATTACAGACATTGTTTATAAATGATTGCCTGGATTCATGTAATTTATTTAATCAATATAATATTTATATAATCAATATAATAGGACTTCTGGACCCAGCTGCCTTCTCTTTCAGAGAGACCCTCAATAACCATCTTGCACAGAAACAAGTCCAGTCTTTTCTTTTGTTTATTTCTGCTTGTTGCTTCAATCATCTTCATTGGCAAAGTAGTCCACACATTTATGACCCTCCATGTGCTGCAGACTTACTGGGTGCTCTGTTCACTCCCGTTTTTCTCACATGGGACCAAAACCTGAGGTCACTTCTAACCTTTCTAAATGTTCACTCAGTCTGGTCCTTAAATTTTACAATGACTGACTCTCAAAAGGTGATTTCTCTATAAAAACATAAAAATGTCCTATTAGGTTGGACTAGTAGTTTCTAAAGCCTGAGAGATCTAAGCAGACAAGGTCCTAGGGCCAGATCCTTTGCAGCACAACGTCACCCTCTCTGTGGGAATGAGAGTTGATCTGGTTTACTTCTGTTGTGAAAGTGGAGAAGGCGAGATGAATCAGTCAGGCTTGGTAACCACACAAAAACAACATCCTAGTCCTCCAGTGAGACTGAAGATTGGGCTTAAATAGAAGCACCAGAAGGTTACAAGGATAACAAATTGAAAGTACAGTTTCATCTCAAATTTAACAAATGTATGCCTCTGTTTACTTTGATTTCTCTTACCTTGAATTATGACAACATGGGTGTATTAGCTTTAGTTTAAATTGGTACTTGTGAGAACTGAATGACTGTGTCTCTTTTGCTAGCACTCAGCCTCCTGCTGCTGGCATTCTGTTAAACCTGCAATGTGCCCTTTATTTAGGGATATGAATACGCACCCTTTCAATGCTACCCATGCCATGGATGGGACTTGCACAGTCATGTTAAGTTTATGATGGTGTGTTATTAACTTTCTGTAGAGATTTTATCTGATACGTTATTAATGTAGATGAGAGACTTGGTTCTGAGTGCAGTGTGAGGCTAACTGTGGAAGCAGCCCTTGCACACTCTTACCAGGCGACGTGCTCCCACGTCCTGTGCATGTCTGCCCCAGATTACTGCATCAATTTCAGTGCACTTTTGGTAGTATTGATGTTTCATGTTGAACATGAAAGAAAGAGCATGAACAGAAAGATAAAAATGGTATAGGTTTCTTTAATTATTAGGAGGAAAAAAGTTCCCTCAGCTGTATTCCTGCTAATGTACCTTGTGTACCTATATTCCTGCTAATGTACCTAATGATATATTTGTGTTTTTTTTTCTACATCTTCTCTCTTCTAGTTCTTCATGTTTATTTTGTTAATCTTCCTGGCAGAGCTTTCAGCTGCAATCCTGGCTTTCATCTTCAGAGAAAATGTAAGTATTCTATGGTGGGCAAGCTCTGAACTTTGATTGGACTGTAGCCAGCTGAAGCTGGTAGGTGGTGGCTAATAAGTTTGTAGGTTGTGTGCCTCAAATACCAACAAACTTGCTTCCTGGCTGCTGTCAGTTTGCAGAACAGGTAGCAAGCCAGTGAATGTTACCAAGCTCACATGTGTGAGGTGGATGGGTTATGTACACAGAGATATTTACTGGGAGACTACTTAAATCCTGAAGTTCTTAGAGTCTAGATTATTTTGCAGCCAAACTAGCTGCATAATCCCTCAGAGAGAGTTTTCTAATGAAGTCACACACTGATTTAAAGTATCTATTTTATTTTTCAAATATAAAATGTGTTTGATATTAATAGTGAAACTTTCTATTTGCCTAGCAGAGCCAATGCTTGCTTTGTCTGCAATTCAAAGAGAGTCTTGTGCACCTTCTAATCATATTGGATTTTCGCTATTCTGGCATTCACCTCTCAATGCTGTTGCTTGTAAGAGATCATTTTCCCTGACTTGTTCTGACCAAGGCTCTCCATATCCCGTTTTGGGTCTTGTCAATGGTTCTTTGGTATATTGCCCAGCTTACAGGTTCCTGCTCCTGCTTCACATGATGCAGCCCCTCTTTACTCTGTGGCTATGCCTGTTATATGGCTGCACTCCCTTCCCTGTGCTAGTAGTAGGTGCAAGCTCATTTGTTTCTCCAACAAATGTTTGTGCATTTTCTTTCATGTCTCTGCTTGTGCAAAGAAGATCCTGACTGAACTAGACTCTAAAGGCAATCTATCCTTAAAACGTGATTGAGTGATGGATGTGAGAAAATGTCAGCTAGTAGAGATGATCAATAGTTGCTGTTAGTATTTCTCTTTCTTATTTGGCCTCTCTCAATTGTAGGGGAACATACAGCATATCCTTCTAGCTGACCATGACAAAAATATAGCATTAACAAAGATATCCTTGTAATTTGCTATCATTTTGCTTTTTGTGAGATAGGCTATACTTTCATTCATATAAAAGGAATTGGATAAGTCAAGAAGCAAGAGTCATGAGGCTGATAGCAAAACAGCAAGGTGTGTTTGCACAGTAAGATGGGCTGTGGGGACTTAGCGGGAAGGTCTTTTTCCTTTCCGAGCTGGTGGTCTTTGTGTCTTTGCCTCGGAAGTGGGCGGCGTGGAAACAGCGGCGCTCTGTGTGCAGTGTGGGTGCTCCGCTCCAGATGAGGCTTTGAGACCGTGTCTTAGTGGGAATTGCTGCAGCTCTGTGAACGGGTTGCAGCATGGGGGGTCTGGTGTGCTCTGGTCAGTGCAGCTCTTCTGTTAAAGGTTTTTAGAGAATTCCTGTGGTGCAGAACGAGGAGCAGACCGCACACATAGGAGCCCTTCACACGCGCTGCTCTGCACCCCCAGGTCCTGCTGCCCCACCACAGCCTTCCCAAGGACGAGATAACGCAGGCGCTGGCCAGAAGGCACTGGGGGCAGCAGTACATGGCTGGGGACAGCAGACTGCTCCCACCTGCAGAGCAGCCTGCGGAAAACTAGGAAAAGCCTTAGAAACTACACAGGCTTAATGTTGGTCCCATATGTGGTGTGACCAGTGGGCCAGCTGTGTCCTCTTCCCACGGCCAAAGGATCCTGCTTATGTTTTGGGTACCTGCCTATGGGAGCAGTGGGATACGTATGGATACGTGCCTCTGCCCCTTGCTAACTCGTTAAGTTCGTAGCGTTTCTTCTAGACTTCTGTGACATCTGGGGTGATCTGTGAGTTAAAAAATGAAGGGGAACAAATTACTCAGATGTCTTTCCTGAACTCCTCACCCTTTTCACATCGCCAGGTTTCCACCCTGTCAGAATGATCGACAGGAGAGGCATAAACAGGAAGATATAAAAGAACCTTAAAAACCCAAGTCAGTTGCAAATCACTCTATGCACAAATTAAACTCAGTTTAAAAATTCTTGCGGTTGGCTCTCCCCTTAGGTTTCTCCTGAAAAAACACTTATTTTACTATTGTTTTTTTTTTCATCATATACTGTGATTTGGCAACCATTTGTAGGTAGTTTTGCTGTCATCTGTGGGTTAGCCTGAGGCTAGATGACCAGATAGAATGCCTGGAAGGACAGGGGTGAGTCTGTTATTGATCAAATTTGAGAGTGTCAGAGTTTTTGAATTTTATATAGGAAGCTTTTGGAGGCAGAGAACTCTTTCCTTCTGGACACTGGTTATGTCACTGCTGTAACATAAGGTCTTCAGAGAGTGAGAGAGAGCGGTGTCATCAGTACCCAGGAAAGAGCAGTTTGACTTACGTGCAGGAATCGACCCTTCAGAGGTCTGGAGGGGAGAAACGCTGGAGGGGTAGATGCCTCTTTTCAAGGCTGTTGTGTGATGAAATTAATGACCTTACACAGACTCTGTGTTGGTAAGGGAGCTTCTCTTCCAAATGTCTTTGTGCTTGAATGACAGTATCAGTGTATCCATCTGAGAGACACAGTGACTCGCCTTCACACGCAGGAAAGCAGGTCGTCAGGAACGGATCAGAGCAGTGGCAGGGCATTGGACTGAGTCTGAATGTTTGGGCATTTATCCCCTGTCCTGACACTTGAGAGGCAAGTTACTTTGGTTCTCGATACCTGTGTTTCCTCAGAGAGAAGGCAAAAGCTAACCAATATGCACATCATGTTCCTAGGCTGAGTAGATGGAGTCTTGGATGAAAACACTCTGGAAAAGAGGAACACCGGCCTGGCGGTGTATCTGCAGTACCAGCATTGTCCTGTCAGAAATGTTAGTGTGCTACAAGCAGGAGTAGAAGAGCAGAAGTGTGCCTGGTTTTCCAAAGAGGAAAGCCCACTTCTTGCACAGCATTATGTTCAGGCACAGCACTGTGCTGGGAGGGCTGTGAGCTGCCTCAGCAGTGCCAGCTCACCCATCATATTAAAGTGCCCTGCTTCATAAGCCCCTTCATCTGGCTGCAGTAACGCCACCCAAGCTGTTTTTTTAAACCAGTGTAACAAGTCAGCCCCACTTCATTTATTGATGTGTGTGCTTACACATACCTCTTGTATTGGAGATTGCCCATCAAAGCAGCTGGGAAAGGAACACAACAAAGAGGTGATGTAGTCGTAGTGACTCTGGCTGACATGACTGTGTGTCACAAGTGTGTAGAAGGGTTTGCTCCCTTCTGAATAGTTCTCGTTATGATACTCTAATGTACAAAGTCACATCACGCTGTTAGTTTCAACCGGAAGAGGCCATGGACCTGTGACGAATCTGATTGAATTTATCCTCCTCCCCTGCCAATAATTTTTCTTTACTTTTTCATTTTTAAAGAAGGAAAAAAATGGTTCTACTGGTCAGTTTTTAAAATGCTTCTGAACTTCAGGTGCTCAGGACAAATTCCAATTTAACAGCAGCAAAGTGGAATCAGTTATTTTCCTGGCAGACTTACCCTTGCAGCACTAGGCTTTCTTTTAGGCCAAGTCTCATAAAAATCACACACAAACCCTGAACAATTTCCTCTGGGATTGCTGCTGTCAAAATAAAGGTTTCGCTTTATATTCAAATGACACTTCTGTCTCAGACCTGGCCAAAGGCAGCCGATTGGGATTGTTACCAACTGTAGTATCAGTTTCAAAGTCTGTGCTTCAGAAATAGGCAATTATCAAAAAAGAAAAAAAAAAAGAAAGAAAGACTGTGCTGCTGTCTCTGCAGGGTAGGATGCTTGGTGGGTAAAGTGTATGAAGAAAGGAGAACACTGAGGATGTGTTTCAGCATCTTCTAATCTAGCCTCCTCCCACTGCACCAAACTCCCAGAGGAAAATGCCTGTCCTCTATGATCTTCCTGTATTTAAATATTCAAAAGCAAAAAAATAAGTTAGTCTGTGTCTTGTAAGAGTGATTTAGGAACTTAGAAGCCTGTCTCATTAACAGGTAATGAGATTTAGCTACCCAAGTTATGCAAAGTTTGTGGAAAGTGAAAAATAATTACCCAGTATTGTTTTAGTCATTTAATTTTGTCTTAATAAAGAAAACTCAAAGATAACTAGTATTCTGATTCCTTTAAGGAATTACCACAGCCTTTTTGGTTTCCTTAAACTTTGTGGTAAAGTTGCAAAGGAAACATTGATTTTTTGTGCCCACCTGTGCAGTGTTTCTTGTTGCATATCAAGAATCTGAAGGCGCCTCTTCACAGTGTAGGTGAGTAGTTTATGGGTCAGCAATGCTGTGTCAACAACAAAAGAGAAGGGGCCTTTCTCAGACATCTCAAGTCCTGATCTTTACAAATATGTAATACTACAGGAAAAGTGTATCCAGCTGAGTATTAATACCTTCCCTGAGGCTTTGTGCTGGGGTAGAAGCTCTGTTTGTGTGGATGGCAAATCACAAGAAAGGTATTTCAGAAAAGGGACCACACAAGTCAAGACCCGTGGGAACCTGAAAAGGGAATCTCTTGCAGTTTTCATTTTGAAGTGACAGAAAGTCCACAGATTGAGTCTGGCTATTTATTTTAAGAAGACCATTAAGTTTCTATATTGTTCCTCCAGAGAGTAATCCTAAATAAATGTAATTTCAAGGTGTATGACCCTCTGAGGAGACTCAAAGCAGAACTGTTGGTACAATTTTTCTATTTTATTGTAAACAGGAGTAAATGAAGTTTCATTAGTTTTTATTGTTGAGTCTGGGAGAAAATGTTTAAATTATCTAAGCTTTGGAAATATAAAGAGGATTTTTTTTTTCTTGTGTAAGGGTTTGTTTATATAATCTACAGCATTGTCAGGGAAACAGTCTTTTTTATGATTTGTAACTTGGCTTGAATATTTCACATTTGTTATTTTCTTAAATTCCTTTTCAGCCCTAGAAAGTTCACTCTTAGGGCCTGATTCTGATTTCTCACACATGGAAATAAATTCAGAGCAGTACCCCTGATGTTTGAAGGAAGTTAGCTGTTGTAAAATGAAAAGTAAGGGGAAAATCATGTGCTCACTGTGGACCCTGTGAAGCTTAGTAAGTTAAGCTGCTATATCGGTGTGGATTCTTTTCCGATTTATGAAGTACTTTCAAATAGCCTTGAATCTGTACCTTAAAAAATTACATGTAAGTATTAGCTTACACATGTAGATATAATTCTCTCTGGGTTTGAAAAAAGAACCAAAATAAAGCAAACAAGCAAACCCACCAGCATTCCCAAAGAGAGATCTGAGAGATGCTTGGGAGAGAGGTCTTGGCAGTAACCACTTGTGTCTGTGCATTTCAGCTGACCAGGGAGTTCTTCACCAAGGAGCTGAAGAAACATTATCTGAGGAACAATGACACGGACGTCTTCTCTTCCACCTGGAACTCTGTTATGATCACAGTAAGTGGAGCCGTGCCAATCCCGTGCTTAAGCAAACTGGCCTTGTCACCAGGCTCAGTCTCACACCCTCAGCCCGCTCTGCCTTCCTCAGGCTCAAGCACAGCAGGGTTTGTGGTGGTGGCGGGAGTGAGACTTCACCGTGCACACAGCCTTCCTCAAAGTGAAACATGCAAAGGCCCAAACCTAAGGCTGTCTTCCCCCAACTTTAGCAACTGGCACCGACAGCCGTAGAGCTGTCTGTAACCAAAAAGCCAGAATCTTACTGATTTTTACCAAAAGAATTTAAGCACCATCTTCTGAAGCAACCTGTGCAGACTGATAGAGCTAGCTTGATGCTTGCTCTCGTGGTCAACAATTGCTTTAGGCCTTTCACCTTGGAATCTACTTCAAAACTATATGCAGTGACAAATGGCCAAAACTGGTAGTAGGTTTTTAGTAGCCCTTCTGAAATGAGTTGTTAAACAATGTCAAGAGTATGACTAATGGGATATTTCTAATACAGAAATATATACCATTAAAATTGATTTTGTTATTTCAGTCCTAAGCAGTGTGGTTAAAGATTGACTTTAGTTGCAGTTTAAATTCTTGTATACTAGAAGATGTTACTTCCTACACACCACAAGAAATTGTGTGCATGTGTATGTGTATCTGTATACATGTAAACTCTTTTTTTCTGTGGCCTGCACAGCCCGTGTTCTGTCTGTTTGGTGCTGAGGAGTAAGATGTCAGAATCTGAAGACGAAAAAGCTATTTTAGTCTTAAAAGAAAAAGATGATTGCTACCCTTCATGCTGATTCAGGATTTTAATAAAGACGTTTCCTTTTGCTCACTGAAAGGAGACACAGTCAAGGCATGACTTGAATCTTTAAAAGGAGCATGACTTGAATCCTAAAAAGGCACTTTTCTTCAATCACCTACCATTGCCTTTGAGCAGCAACAATCCTGGATGTTAGGTATAGAGGGGTACGAGTGGTGAGGAGTCTGGCTTGTGCTGCTGACTCTTTTATGGACCTGCAGGATGTTCTCAATTAAGTTTTTCTGGTGTGCTTCAAAGCCCTGCATAGATTGACAGAGGCACCTTAGTGTTCTCACTATGACTTGGGAACAGTGGGACTTTTCGTATGTAAGCTCCAAGGTATAAGCACAACTACTTCTTCAGAAGCAACAGTTGTTCTCTCTCTGCTTCGATCAGAGCTTTGATCCCTGAAAAATGGGACCTGGGGAGACTTCTGGTGTCTCAGGTCAAAGTGTAAACTCTCTCTGCCTCTTTTTCCTGCCTAGTTTGCCTGCTGTGGAGTGAATGGACCAGAAGATTTTGAACCTGTCTCTCATATCCCACACTTACCTTTGGAAGAAGCGCCACCAGAGGCTTGTTGCCAGCGACAGCTCCAAACGCAGGAAGGGATGTTTGTGGACAGAGAGGCCTGCCTCGAAGGGGTGGAGAGATTTCAGAATCGGCAGGTAAGAGAAGCCAAAAACAAGGCAAAAAAAGGAATTTCACAGCAGGCACAAGGATGGCTGTGATGACTGTGGGGAGCTAGGGAGGCTGGCAGGTCATGCCATTCTGGCTCTGTCTCGCATCCTGATTTTGCTCGTGCTTTTGAAGTCATGGCATAGGTCTGATTTTGAAAATTCTCTTTCACAGTGTGGACTGCTAGGTCTATGTTGTATGTATCAGCAGAAATATGAACGTTTCTTTAAGGAATTGGCAAGTGAGGTCAGGGGTTATGTCAAGTTTTCTTCTATTTCTGAAGGTTAGCCCTGCCCCAAGAAGTTTGTTACCAAGCCAGCACAGGTCAGTGGAGATGGGATGGAGGTGGCACTTACAGGCTGCCTGAGCGGTTCCACTCTAGTTCCACAAGACTTAGTGTCAATAACGTGTCCAACCAAGAAATCAATGATTGGACAGCCACAGAAAACCAGGTCTGTCTTCAAAGGAAGAGAAGTGGTGGAAAGTTGCATTTCTGTCCCCTTACACTGGTTGCAATAGAAAAGGGGCATTTCTTTTGCTGGGTTTCTCAACTTAGCAGTTTGTCTCCATGGTAGACTTTTAAATAGGCAATTCAGTATATTGTTGAGCCTGGTATTACCAGTACTATTCTCTTACATTTTTCCCCAAGACCTGAAGATTCAGAAACTTTTTAGCAAACTTTTGTGCTCATCTTAACAAGTCAGTCAGACTGTATATTGACTGAATATACAAGTTTTCTTGTCTCTTCAAACTAAGCAATGATCCTCTTTTCAGCACTTGACAACACACTGTGAAAGAGAGTAGAGGAGTTTAGAAGTTGTTTCCTAGTCTGGCAGCTAGAAGATATTGGCAAAGGCACTCTGGATGAGAGATCGTAGCAGACAGCACAGCACTGCTCCTGTCACATCTGATTGCCATGAGTAGATGGAGAGGAGAGAGAGAGATGGCAAACAGCAGGGAGAGAAGGAGACATAAATTTTGAGAAACGGGGTTGAAGCAGGGACCAAACTGGTGCTTTCCTGAAATGGTGATGCTGCAACCTACTGGTTTTATAGAAAGGGCAGGTTTTCTGTGACCCCTTGTCAGTGCAGCATGGGAGAAACAACCTGTGCAGGAAGTGTCACCAAACACAGAGAGAGTTTTGCATTTTTTGTAAAACTAGAGACTTTTTGTTTTTTGGGGGTGGGGCGGGGGGAGTGCTGCTTTTGGGAACTGGATCTCCATGTACCTCAGGTACAGAGGAGGGCTCTGCTGAGACAGCAACATGCAGTGCTGTTCAGCTCTGTCTTCATCCTTTCTAGGGCTGTTACACTGTGATCCTGAACTCCTTTGAGACCTACGTGTACCTTGCAGGAGCCCTTGCCATCGGCGTTTTGGCCATCGAGGTAATACTGTGTGAATAAAAAAAGCAAAATAAAATAGTGTCAGAATTCAGCAGCAAGGCAAACCGGCAGGGAAGGCCTCGCAGGGAGAGCTCTTGCTGCCGCAGCGTGAGCAGGTTATTAACTTGCGGCTTTGCCTGCCCGGAGGGAGGGGGTGCTGGTCCCTTGGCACTGCAGGCATCGACGCCGTGTTCTGCGGGCCTGCAGTGCCGCCTCGAGCGCGGCGCGGGGCTCCGGGCTCCAGCGCTGCCCTCCCAGGCCCCCAGCGCCTGCCCTGGGCCCCACACGTCACTGCCGTCACTCGGGAGCATCCCAACGAGCTGACTGATGGATCGCGTGGTTTTCCAGAGACCCCTCTCGGGGGCCCTCATGGTGCCTTCTGGCGGGAGGGGACAATACTTGGTCTTCTTCTGGAAGATATGTCTGATTGGCCTTGTTCTCTGATTTCTCTGATTTGTCTTTTTTTTTATTTTTCCCCTCTCTTCCCAGCTTTTCGCCATGATCTTTGCCATGTGTCTCTTTCGAGGGATCCAGTAGACAGAAGCCTATGAATCACCACACTGACCCCCACATGCTCAGAAGAAAGAAGGAAAATCAAAAGAAACAAAACCCGAGAACACCCAAAAACTTTATTTTTTTTAACAAAATGGGGTAGGGGGATTAAAAAAAAGGGGGGAAAAAAAAAGAGGGTTGTAATATATGAATGACCAAAAGGATTGTACTTCAGGGGCTGGAACTTTGAGGTGATGTGCACTACACTGTACACCGGACCCTTGCCCAGAGCCGCCTGCAACAGCCACGGAGAAGGAGCCGAGCGCAGTCGATTGCACTAGGGACGGAAGGAGCCTGCAGAGGGGAGCAGGAGGAAGAGCACAGCTTCCTCTTCCACGTGTGGGAGCAAAGCCGGGCCTCGCGCTCGCACCTCTGTACTGTTAGACAGCGATGGAGGGAAGAACGGCAACACTGGGGCTGCCTAAGGCCATATGTGACTGTCCAGGTGGGTTTGAAACAAATGCTGGTGGTGGATCATCTAGGAAACTTGTTGTTTGTATGATTCTGGCTTTAGATATTAATTCCAGCCACGACATAGAAAGACATTCATCAGTGGAAGCTGACTTCCCGGAGAAGTGCAGCACTTCAGCAAGGCTGGCTTTTCTCTGGAGCTCCAAGAAGGGGCAGAGAGGTCCCACTTAGACATAGGACTCATCTAAGACAGGCTGGCTTGTGGTCAGGAGACCCCTTCTGGCTTTAGTTACTTGTACTGTACACTGTTGTGAAAAAGGAGTGGAAAAAGTGGTTCCTTTCTGTGTTCCCATCCCCTGGGAAAAATAATGGGTCTGGTAAAGAATAGCTAATGCTGCTGCCCTCCTGAGAAGTGGAGGAAATAGTGTTTAAATCGTCAGCCTTTTTTCACTTGATACTTGCAAAGAAAAAAAAAAAAGCTTGTGGTGCTCTGTTAGCATGAAGATTTGCAGTGGCTTCCTCCATGCTTGTCTGCCCCAAGGGGAATTGGAGGCGTAATGCTGGGATGGGAGAGGCCGAGATTTGTCACCAACCCCCATGCTGTTTCCCTTAAACTGTCGTGGCGTCATTTCTGCTCAGTTTCCCCTCAGGCCTCTGACAAAAGCATCAAGTCAGAATTGTTCTGGGCTGCCTGTTAGCTGAGACTGCTTCCTCCCTTGAGATAGTCTGACATTTAACAAACATACCATCCACTTAATCATTTAGAAATGAACTTGGGAAACTTGCCTCGGCCTAGACCTCAAGCATCGATTAGGATGAATCTGAGGCCCCCAGATAGGCTCTAAGAGCGCTCAGTGCAGGGCCAAACCCCTCGAGCTGCTTCTCAGGCCATGGTGACCCTGCTCCTCTTAACTGAGGGGGAGCAGAAGCAGCTGTGGGTTCCTTGTTTCGCTTAGGTCTTTTTACAGCCTCC